TGAAAAGGGTTTCATCAGGCCGAGTGTTTCACCTTTGCGTGCTCTAATTCTATTTGTGAAGAAGAAATACGACTCTATAAGGATATGTATTGTCTACAAGAAGCTGAACAAGCTTACTATCAAGAACAAGTACCCACTACCATGTGTTGATGACTTATTTGATCAGTTTCAGGGTGCTAGGGTATTCTCGAAGATTGATTTGAGATCGGAGTACCATCACATGAAAATCCGGGATTTAGATATTCCAAATACGACTTTTAGGATCTGCTATGGTCACTATGAGTTCTTGGTGATGTCTTTTGGGTTGACCAATTCCCCAATAGCTTTCATGCACAACAGTGTGTTATAGCCGTATCTTGATACCATCATCATCATGTTCATTGATGATATATTTGTGTATTCTCGCAGCCGGAAGGATCATGAGCAGCATTTGATGATCGTGCTCTAGACTTTGAGGTAGAAGAAGATATATGCTAAATTCTCCAAGTGTTAGTTTTGGTTAGACTCAGAGGCATTGTTGTCCACGTGGTGTCCAATGATGGAATTAAGGTGGATCCAAAGAAGATTGAGGTAGTTTAGAGCTGGCCTAGACCGTCTTCGACTATGGAGATCTGGATTTTCCTTTGGTTGGCTAGGTATTATCGTTGTTTTATGGAGGGGTTTTCGCCCATAGTAGCCCTATTGACTAGATTGATGTAGAAGGGTGCCCCATTCAAGTGATTTGATGAGTGTGAGGACAGATTTCAGAAGTTTAAGGCTGCATTTCGTACAACTCACATTCTGGTTTTGCCTTTAGCATCAGGTTCTTATATGGTCTATTGTGATGCTTCCTAGATTGGTATTGGATGTGTGTTGATGCATGAGGGTAAAATGATTGCTTATGCTTTGCGTCAGTTGAAGCCCCATGAGAAGAACTATCTAGTGTATGATTTGGAGTTAGCAACCATTGTTCACGCACTTAAGATTTGGAGGCACTATCTTTACGGCGTATCCTGTGAGGTGTTCATGGATCACAAGAGTCTCCAGCACTTATTAAAGCAAAAGGATTTGAACTTGATGCAATGGAGGTGGTTAGATCTACTAAAGCACTATGATATTACCATTCTTTATCACCCGAGGAAGGCCAACGTAGTGGCCGATGCTTTCAGTAGGAAGGTTGAGAGCATGGGGAGTCTTGCTTTTATCCTAATGGAGGAGAGACAATTAGCTTTGGATGTTCAGGCTTGAGCCAACAGGTTCGTGAGGTTGTATTTTTCGGAGCCTAGCCGGGTTCTTGCTTGTGTGGTTTCACGATCGTCTTTCTTTGAGCACATCAATGCGCATCAGTATGATGACCCTCGCTTGATTGTCCATAAGGACACAATGCAGCACGATGATGCCAAGGAGGTGATTATTTGTGATGATGAGGTATCGAGGCTTCAGGGCATTTGTGTGCCTAATGTGGATGGGGAGAGTTGATGCTTGAGGAAGCCCAATCGGACATTGATAACACCAAAGTCTACCTCAAATCAAACTTAAAAAACTCTAAAACCTTCAAGATGTCAATTTCCAACAATAAGCATTGAAACGCTCTCAGGCCGCCCAAAACTCGATCCAAACATACGCCCTGGTCCAAAATTATCATACGAACCTATTGGAACTTTTCAATCCCGATTCCGAGATCATTTACTACAAATGTTGACTCAAGTCAAACTTGCCCACCTTAGGCCACTATAATGGAAGGTAGCCTTAAGTTCTTCCCTTTTTATCGTTAACTGACTCACTTAGCCATCACTCCACTTGCCCGAACACTCACCTCAGTAATGGTTTGAGGGAAAGAGAGAAAGATGATTGAATCTCCAAAGTGTTCCGGATTCAATCTGGATCCTTCTAAAATCAAACCAACTGTCCCCACAAGTCATAAAATATAGGAAAAGCACATACGGGGAGTCATAAATAGAGGAACAAAAATTTAAAAAGCAAAACGACCGGTCAGGTCATTACAACAATATAGCTACAAGAGCTTGTCTGAACAAAGCTTGATTGAGCAACTGCTGAAGATAAAAGAGAGTAAATTGCAAAGAACAATAGATTTTTTATTTCTTATTTCTTATTTTTTGTATTGATAGTGATTCGGATTCCTTGCCAAAGTGACCAAATATTGATATTTATAGTGCCTGATCTGGGTAGCCGTTTTCGTGAATCATGTTGTCATTATGATTCATTCCGGCCATTTAAATAACGGATGATTTAATATTGAATCTTGCAAATATCGAGTTAGTGTCAATTCCCAGATATTTCAAAATCTAACGATCTGCTATCCTCCTTATTCGTATATTTATAAGTATTTGGGATACCAGATACTTATTATCTTTTTCGAAAACTCGAATTGAACTTCCGAGAAGTCTTTTACTTGTCCTCGGTTTAGACAACTCAAGGTGCGTGGAAACTGATTAGGTAATACTTGCCATGTGTCTTCTGCTAATTGGTCCACGTTTTAAGCCTTTTTTTTTTTACCAATACAACACACATGTATATATGTATATCACGAGACACTCTCCTAGTAAAATAATCACCTATCTGAACTCAATCTTTATTAATTAATCAGATGTAAAGTCCAGCAAATCTTGATTATTGGGTTTCTCGATCGGAATTAACATGATCAAGATTTTAGCTACTACTTGGAGATATTGGTGGTAATTAAAAGGAAATCCAATCAGTGCTCTCTAAATTTTGTAGAGGACTAAATTATGCAGAGATCTGATGACATTAATAAAAACTCAATCTTTTCGATGAATAATGATGCTTCAGCTAATAAGAATTGGTGATAGTCAACTCGCTCACATGCTGGCGCGCACAGGGAGTAATAGTATCAAGTCTTTTCAATTTTTGATTTTTCATGTGAGGGTTTGGTTGGAGATTAAAAGAAGAACTCAATTTTAATTAGTTTATATATTATTGATACGATTCTATTAAGATAATGAACTTTATATTTCTCTAAAAGACATTTTCAAGCATGTTCTAGGCACTTGTTTTTTAATCTTTTATTATAACTTATTTGTACTCCATTTAGGGGTACCACCAACAACTTTAATTTCTTTTAGGTTCCCCTCTCGCGCTATTTACATGGTCAGCTCACATCTAAAGGCGAAATTAAATTTTTTAGTTTATGAGTTTTAAATTCTTTATTAGCTTTTAAATAAAGATTTTAGTCAAAGCTATTGAATTTTATCGAACCCCTAAGCAAAACTATAGAATCCGCCATGTTGACACCATACCAACATTTAGAGAGGGAACCAATGGCATCCTTCAATTTTATAAACTTTTCTTGCAAAAAGATTAAATTACTTTTCCACAAATTGATAGCTAGATAAATTAAAACTAGAGGGTAAAAATGTTGACTTACCCAGAGGGTAAAAATAATGTGTACAATACAAGGACATCTAACATGTAAGATTTTGAATGACTCAAAAATCTAAATTTCCCAATAGGTAGGAGACTTGTACAAGTGTACGTGTTTAACAAAGAGCTGTCTGGAATATCTTGTGTACAGTCCTACGTTGGATCATGTCTACATCACTCTGTTTCTAATCTTAGACCATTCTTAATTTATTCATCTGATTCTCTGTGATACATTTTCTTAAATAGGACATAGTCCAATAACTTTTTGTACATTTTTTTTTTTAATTTTTTTCTGAGAAACTTCTTCAGAAAGTTTTGGAATATATTATAAAAATCGTGTTTACACAGGTTGAATTTCCTGCGTTGCTTTAAGATAATTGAAGAGAAGAATTCTTGCAACTCAACCTAACGAGAATTAAACCAGGGACATAGCTCGGCAGAATTTATTAATTTTGGTCTAAATTCTATATATTTGTTGAGAAATTCACTAAATTAATATGTACATATAATAAATTGCAGACTCATAACCTTCAAACTATGAATCCGTCTTTGACCAAACATTATATTTCTGCTCACTTATAAACACCTCAGTGAGTTCAAAATTCGGAATGAATAAGTTCAAAATAAGTATATTTTATTTATATGCATACATATATAGTTCGAGCTGAAACTAAGAACCTAATAGTACTCCATAACCGATACTAGGTCAGCCTCTAATCTCGCAACCTTTTTGCTTCCATAATCCTATTGATATTTTTGTGCATTATTATTAATATAATTAAAGAGAGTAATTAACATTTTCTAGTACTACTCCTTTCTGTCACATATATAATCACACACATGCAGATACACAGTACAGGCTGTCAAGATGAATTATTAATTAACTAATTTTTGTAATGAATTAATTAGTGGAAGAGTGCTTTGTTGTTTCTCCAAGGAAAAGGTGTCATCTCTCATGATATTAAGATGGTGAACTGGTGATTTGCTGTTTGCCTCCTCTTCTCTTCTCTCCTTAATTTGCTTTTTCTGTCACAGAAACAATTAATTAAGAAGAAAAAAGGTCTCTCAATGAACCTCTTCACCGAATTCCTTGGATCCCATAACTTCAATTTTCAGGTAACTTCCTCTTCTTCTTTTTCTTTTCTTTTTTTTTGGGTTTTCTCGAGAATGCATGTAGTTGATGAGAACATTATTTTTGACGTTAAACTCTTATATAGTCTTGCAATGAGAATCGTAATTTGTTCTATCTTCATTAGGGTGTAAGCTCAATCATTTCTACTTTTTGGTTTGTTCTTTAATTTCCCCATTATGTTTCATGATTTTGAATTTCTTTTTCTCTTAGAGGAACTATATTTGTTTCTACTTTCTTTTTATTATTTTATTCTGTTGGGTAATTCCTGGTGAATAAAAAGGATCCTTGTGAATTTATTTTCATTATGTTGAGCATTTTAAACTCCAATTCCGTTTAAACCCATTGTTTTTTTTTTTCAATGTGTATATGGGTGACAGGTTAATGAAGACAAACTTTTTAGCGTTTGATTTGAAATAATTATAATTATCATGCAATTCAAATTTTACTATGAAGATTAAAGGCTTCTAACTTTTTTTAACTTGAAGCGAAAAATAAAATAAAACTAGACTTTTTGCTTTTGGATGGGATGGCAGAGTGTATTGGTGTATGTGCTTTTTTGTTCCATTTTTTTTTTCTCTGCAAACGGTTTTTTTAACTTTTTAATATATTTTGGTATCTTTTGCGTCATACGTAAGTTTTATCCATTGCCGTTATTTTGACTTTTGGGGTGGCTAAGAACTTTGAGTATATATCAATAGTCCCTTATTTTAAGTTTATAACGTGATTGATGCCAATTAAGGGAAAAGGGACAAAGATAAAACTAGTATTATATGATAGGCATCTTACCACTAGAAAAAAGATAGATTAATTATATTCAATTAATTTCATCAAATTGGTGTTCCTTTAGATGAGATTCCTTGCAGTATTTTTTGACTTTTCCATTATAGTTTACATATACCGTAATTAATCTTTGAATATAGTGACTGAAACACTTATTATGGTATAAATTTCAAAGATAGGGATCTTTGTTTGTAAGTGTCGAAGTGAAAGCAAACAATTTGCAATAATTAAAAATGACAATTGACAATGGTGGAACAATATATATTCGCCCCAATGGGATTGTTGCGATACACCTAGTACATACGTGATAGTTTTTCTTATTAGACTGGTATATATAATGATCAAGCAATATATTATAATTGGTCCTAAATAGAATGTCACATCGCAGTATTAACATTAAACACTCTTAATATTTAGAGGCCTCTCAGAAAGTTTAACTGAACCTATTGCTATTGACTTGAACTATATCTCTATATATATGTATGTCGCAAATTTATAATACATACATATATTATAAGATTTCATTTATTAAACCCACTTTAAATCTTACTTTCGCCTCTGTTTGTCTAGTTTGGGTGTTGCCTTTTTTTTTCCTTTTTTATTTTTTTCCAACTAGCGAGCAAACTTAATCAACTTGTAGCATCCACCGATACTATCACATTTGCCGTTTAACATGTGATTAGATTATAATTTTGCATGCGTTAAAGCATAGAGATACTTAAAAATTAAGTCATAATCAACCCCTTAAGTAATTACTAAAAGACTAGCTTATCTCGAAAATTGGACACTCTTTTTGTGTGAGTAAAGAGAATTAGGACTCTGAACCTTGATGAGAAATTGTCACAGGAGTTTAGGAGAATGCAATATTATTTTCTTATCCTTTCTTTTTGTGTGTGTTTTTAATCCCCTATTTTCAGAATGACCCTATCAGAGCGACTCATTTACCTGGAGAATAGTTTCTATTTTAATGATTTTTCAATTTTGCAATGAAAAGACGAATAGTTTTAGATATCTGCTAGCATTGTGGAAGAAGAGGAATCAAGTCATGCAGTCGGAAATCCAATTATTGGTCCTGCATTCAGTCCTTAGGGTTGGTCTCCATGTTCTGATTCTGCCTCATGATAATAGAAGTACCTCAGTAAGGACTCCATTTCAACAATAATTTGCATTTGATGGCTATTTTACTTAAATATTTTCATTAACGCCTTCCGCTAGGTCTGGTATAGAAGAAGGGTTTTTTTGCTTTTCGACAGCAAATGATGCATAAGCGCTCTTGGTCTTTTATACGTATCCGCTGCTCTTAGCCTTGTTAGAATCCAATGTTAGAAGGAAGAATTCAATAGGCATCCCAATATTCGTTTTCTCTCTTTGTCAATTTAGAGGATAGAACTACTGCATGCAAAATGGTTGTTAAGTCCTTGGTTTAACTCTTTGGAAGGTGGATATCACTATTGACATTCCTATCTTTGTGTCAATATTGCAGGAATGGGAACAAAACTCTTATACGCCAAAAATGCAATAGCTAATTCTCCAAACTACTATTTCGCAGTGAAACAATTGTATAACTTGGGTGATACTTTACACAAAGTTGGATATTCAATGGATAGGATTGGTGAATTGAAGAGTGTAGAATCCATCAAGAGGACAATGCTCATACATGAAAACATTTTCAAACAGCAGGTATTCTTCCATCTTAATTGCTATTTGTAGGTTTTGATTTTGCATTTTTTGAAAAGCTTTTTTTCTTGCCGGAATTACTTTTCCTATTCTGAGAACTATTTTATCCAAAATAATTCCTTTCAAATCTTTTCTTATAATATAAAAGAAAAGGCGAGTAGTCGACGTTTTTGGGGTTTGACTTGATTATGATCCAGTAGGCTATTCGGAATTTCGGATCAGTTACACTAGAAATAAGCTAGATGGAAAAAATACTTTTATTTAAATTGGCGTATTTTTTTTATTATAGTCATTCACTAGTAAGACCACATGCTAATTAAATTGGCCCATTTGCACCCCTAAGATTGAGGAGATAAATGGTGGCGTACAGTAGTTTATTATCATCCAGTTTGTCACAGATCAGAATCCCATGCTTCACAATCTGCCTCGTCAATGACACTATATTAAATTTCATTTTTTTTTTTAATGAGTAACTTATCTGCGCATGAATCTACAGAAAAAGAAGAAAAGAAGTCTTCTTTCTCAGTATTTGAATCTGATGTTGACCTGGAAAAAAAAAAGAAATGCATTGACGGTATAAAGAATCTGCACATTATCATTATATCAATGTAATTTTACTTCTTATAGCAGGTTATATATAATTTCATCATGTCACCAGTTATAGCTTTTTATAGGAAGTTACCTGCTATCGTGCCTTTTTAGTAACTTTGATTATGTAAATATTTTTTATACTGTCAGTAAATGTAACTAATAACAGGTAAAGGAGCTCCACCGACTATACAATCTTCAAAGGAAACTGATGCTAGAGTTGAAGAATGAGATGTCAAAGATAGATGATCCAAGAGTATTATTAGACAAGTCTATGATCAACATCTCTCAAAACTTGTCCACTTGGCAACAACAATCCACAAGAGAAATAGGGTTTAACAGTGTTCATCTTTATGGTTTAACAATTGATCAACAAGGGGAAAGAAGTGGCAGTTGCTCAGGTGAGAACTCAAGAATATTAATGCCAGTTAGAGGATTGAATCTTGAATTGCCTTCTGATCATCAAGAAGGAACTTCAACAAGTACTATTTGTGCTAGTTATGACCATGCCAAGATGAGAAATATTGATGAGGAAGCAGATGTGGAGCTAACACTAAGTATTGGACCTAGCAATAATAAAAAGAGGTTAAAAAGCCATATGCATAAAGAAAAGGAGAGAAATTTTTCAGCTTCAGCCAAGTTAGAAAGAGGAGAATGTACTGATGGTAGCCCAGCTAGGAGCAGTTCGAGTGCAACATTCAAACAAGAAAGTGCCTCTCAAGCTTATTGGTTTTTCCAAGATCTTAGTTTAAACAGAAGATAGCCTATATTAACTTCCTTCTTTTTAATTCTTTTGTAATTAATTTATGGAAGCCTACTTGTTTCCTTTCAAATGTTTCAATGTGCGTACTTGAATAGCTTTCTTTAATACTTGTATATTTTATCTAACCTACAATCGGTAGGAATAGAATAGAGGAAAGAAGCATTCTCTTTTTACAAACATGCATAGAATAGATAGTCCCTATAAAGAGTACCTGATTGTGAATCTCGTGAGTCTGATCTTTTGTCATATCTAGAATTTCTAAGAAAGGGAATCTCCATATCTAGGATTTCATTTCTACCTGGTCTTTTGCCTTGAGGGGTTTCTAAAAGATCCACGACATAGTCCCTATAAGTAATTGGTTGCGAATCTCGTTAGCCTGCTATTAAGTAATAGTTTCATTAAAATTATCCATGTCAAAGGTATCCACACGATGATCCAAATTTAGTTAGATACTAACCTCCTCACATTTCATATATGTGCACCTTGACTGTATATTAGGAACTAAACAGTGGCTTGCATGTCTACAATTCACAAAGTACATGCTCTTGAGTCCCTACTTGTGCAAGTAGTCCCCTCTCTTGTTCCCATTATCAATATTGACAGAAGAACTTAACATAGTGGCAATAGGATTTGCAGGAACATTTGGGATATTTGCATGGTAGGTTGGCATCATAATTACCATATTCACTACTATGAACAACATAACAAATCATTTTGACCTTAAACATTTCTAAAATTCCCCTGCCATGACTCCACCGTGCCACATCTTTCATTCAGCACTGTCCTAAGGTCGTGTGTCTATTGTCATCTTGTCAAAGATATCGCGAACATCTTTCTTGGTCTCCTGGAGCAGCAATTCCATACGAGTCCAATTTTTTAGTTTCACATCATTCACCTTCATCACGTCCTTGATGAGAACATCTTGAAGACCTAAAAACATAAATAGAAGTGTCATTTCTTTAATAGCTTAGCCTTAGGACGAGGTAATCCACACAATTTTACATGATACTAGAGCAATTAGAGGTCCTAGGCTTGAGTCTCACCATTATGCATCAACAAAATATTTCACATTATAGGTCCAGCAAAAAAGAAAATGTATCAGCTGAGACAACATGGGCATATAGAAGACTTTAAAGAAAAATATATTCCATCTTTAATAGTTTAAACTTTTAGATGAAGCAGTTCAAATAATTTGATAAACAATAATTTGAAATCATATGATAATCAATTGGCTGCCAATAGTCAAAGATTTTTTCCAGATCCAAAGATGATTGAACACCTACCAAAACTTGTTTTAAGAAATCTGCTAGCAGATCAACTTCAGCCATAACTTTAGTGAGACTGTGTGATTAAACGGTTGTAGCCTTGTAGGACCATCTACGGACAATGCACGACAGCAGGAACAACTATTAACTTCAGAGTTCAGAGCATTTATATAAACCAATATGGTCATCATCTTGGTAACCAACCCAAATAAGGGGCCAGAAACTTTCTGTTTTGGGGTTAAAATCTACATCATACCTGACACTACTAGTTTATTTTTCACGAATAAACCAGACTGCAAAAGAAAAGAAGAATGAAATCATCTTCATAAGTAAATTGTTAAAAGTACTAGCACAGAATCAATTCAACCCATAAAATAAAACGAACTTTTGAATTAAACTAAACTAGGGCATATCAAATCTCTACTACTACGGATCGTTCATAGAAGACTTACACACACCCACTAGAGAGAGTAAATGAATCAAAACAGACACCTTCATCATTCATAAAGCATATACAACTCACAATAAATTTTTCTTACAAATCAATGCAAATTCATTTCTAATACAAAATTATCTGAGCGCTTAGCATGGTCAATCGAGTAGTGGAGGCCCGTATCTTTTTAAAAGATGTCTTGGATGTAGCAGGAGTTAGGCATACCTTATATTGCCTAACCATTAGAGCATATTAATAACCAATATGTAATCATAGGGTAATGTAAGATTTTACCTCCTTATCCTGTGAGACATATTGCGGTAGTATATTATCAAAATTATACTTTTCATGTGACAAATATATGTCTCTGTTTTTTTTTTTTTTTTTTTTTTTTTTTTTTTTTTTTTTTTTTTTTTTTTTTTTTTTTTTTTTTTTTGTGTGTGTGTGTGTGTGTGTGTGTGTGTGTAAAGAATTGATTCTTACAGATATTGGCCAATGTCAAGTAGATGCTTCACTGTTATCAAAGCACCAAGGACTCAAAATGTACAGAAGAAATGTGAAATTGGTGAACACATCTTGCAACAGAAAGATAAAGTAGATGATCATTATGATACTGCAGAGTTTAAACTAATCAAACAAGTACCGTATACTCTGAAATTCCCTACCCTCCCAAATGACGACAGTATCTCAAATAAAAGTAACTTATGTTTTCCAACTCAAGAGAGATTGTTATATCTCCCTATGTGATTGATTGTTTCCTTTTATAACTATTTCTGTATTTCCTTGGACACCCTTTTTGTTAGAAAGGTAATAATGCATTTACTTGGACACTTGTCATTCCAAATTTCTGTTTTAAGTTTTCATTAAAATGATAGTTCCTGGTTCTCAAACCGAAATGCTAAAAAATGGTTGCCTGAGTTTAAACTTTCCACTCACAATATCTGCCTTAAGAAACTAAAGCACTTAACAAGTTAAGCAATCAATGTAATGCAGATAAATACATGTCAATTAGAATCAAATTGTGACTACTGTATGCAATGAAAGAAGATTCCTGACCTCAAAACTCTTCATGCTAGTATGCACTTCTAACTTCTCATTCCCTGTATGCACTATAAACATCTTCAATCTCCATCTCAGATTCATCTTCCAGAAGATCTCCCTCCAAACTACCCATATTATGCTTGTTATTTTCCACGTGAACACGTTCATATTCTGACTCATTCTCAAGCAAATCATCATCCACGAATTCCTGCAAATCTTCAAGAGTATCCATTGTTTCCTTCTTCTTTCTGTATCCAACAAAGCTTAGAACCTTTTCTCTCCAAACAGTCAAAGGGTGCTTCTCAATCAACTCAGAACCTTCATAAGCACTATTAAGAAATACATGAAACCTCTTACCCCTTTCTGAAACATAAAAGATTCCAAAATGTTTAAGCAACAGCCTCATCTGCTTCTGAGGCATTACGAACTCCCTCCTAAAATGTGTCAGATAATCTGTCACCAACCTCTTTTCGATTGTAAAGCTCAGCAGCTCATGAATCACTGCAACCGCCCTCTTATTAAACTCCAGTGTTCCAGCCTTTAGTTCCCTGGCATCTGCATAAGGCGACAAGTATTCCCGCTTCTGAAAATTCTCTATCTTCCCCTTATATCTAGACAAAATTTGTTTATAATCAGGTGGGAATTTCATTGGGAAAGACAAGGAAAGAAGACCAGCTACGTGATCATCTGGGGCCTGCATACCACCCAGAGCCTTCCTTTCTAACCCTGTCATAGCCCAACTCGATCTCCAATTCACAAGCTCTAAATACTCACTTTCATCATAAGGTTTAAATGGATGAACAACTCTAAAGTAATCAGGAAATCTGTGCACCCAATGGTTCCTAAAATCCATTGGCAACCCCAAATCTCTTCTGAAATGAACAATCTTATCTAAGGCAAGGCGCTTGTCTACGGACATCATCAGCATCCTAGTTACAAGCTCTGCAGCGTTATCACTCTGCTGCTCAATAATAGCCTCCTCTTCTTGGACTAAACCTTCAGCCTCCTTTGTCATACCACACCATAAAATCCCTCTATGATCCTTGTACAGTTCAAAGAGCTTGGGGGACTTCCGTAGAAAAGCCGAGATTTTATGGGGCTTTGGGAGGTTTATTTGCCTCCTATACTGATCAAGTTCCCTAATTGATATGATTTGTTGAGGCTCCTGTTTGAGGACTTCAAATATTAATAGGACTTTGGAGAGGACCTTGTGCTTTTCTGTGGCTATTTCAAGGTCATGCACCCGCTTCCTCTTGCTTCTGTCTTGGACTCTTTTACTGGTGGTCATTGATCGGTGCCATTGCAAGATTGCTGAAGAATCTATGAACAAGAATGCAATTGATGTATTTAGTTCAGCAGAGAAACATCCACGTCTACCAATAAGTCTGAGCATTGTGCCAAACCAAAATAATCAGAGGGGATTCTCCCGCAAAACAAAGAGGGTATTGCAGCTATCAGTCCAATTACTAAATAGAGCACTGAGTAATGGATGTACTCGCTTGTCATGTACCTACTATTCCTTGATCATACCCCTTCTGTTCCCTGATCAATGCTTTGCCATAAATGGAAAACGGCCGGAGACAACACGATGCGGCATGGCAAGTTTAATCCATTGCGGAAGCCTAAGATTTGTTAAAATAGGCCTCCCAAGTGGAACCAATTTGGACTAAGTGAGTTCTCAGGCAAAGTACCTTGAGGGAATATAAAAAAAAAATAACTTTGTTAAGACTGTTAGTTTTGAAACCTACATTACATACTGCTATAGTGCGTGATATGACATAATATTGATTAAAGCAAATGAGATTAATTACCAACAACCACAAGTAACTATTGCAAGTCGATCGTATTGCCATAAGATGACACCCAAAAATAGATTATTCATTGAGGTAACCTATCATGATTACGAAAAAAGGTTTCTAACTCATGCATCAATACTTAAAATGTGTATTTGCCAAGTTGTCATCAAGCTTTTTCGCTCCTTTAAGATTTAAATTAACCTACATAAGAAAACAATGGAAAAATTAACATTTATCCTTGTTGATAATAAGCATTAGACGTCAAGTGGACTAAGCTGGCAAAACACTTTGCAGACTTAGCTTGCAAAACACTTTGCAGACTCAAGTGGTAAACGGATGATTAACTTTGTTAAAAAAGACATGTATCAAGATAATGTAGAAATGTGATTGGTTCAAGTTAAGAAGACTACAGGAAGCAAAACTCGTGAAATTGAAGCTCACCAATGCCATTTCACACCAACAAACACAACGGATGATGTTGAAATTTTCTTTTTCTTTTTTTTTTGAGAAAGCATGATGTTGAAATTTCAAGCTCTGAAAACCCTACCAATGACTGTAAGCTACTAGGTGTAAGTATCTATTCGGCAACAGTTCAAAAGTTGAACCATTAAGGAAGTAAAAGAGAGATCTTGAATGTAAACTAGTGTCACTCTCTAACAAAACCAAACGAAAGAACAAAATAGTTCTTGAGGTAAGATTAAATAAAGCAGGAGAAGATAACATGTCAGGTGAAACAGTTCTATGGTAAATGGAGCCTGATAAATGAAAATGCCGAAGACTTAAAATTATACACACTGAAAGATCGGGTATCGGGAATTAGTTTACCACAAAACCAGACCACTTATTTCACTTCCTTTAATTATTCTTGGTGGGAAATGAAAATGAGTAAACAACACACAACAAAATTTTACTCTAATGCTATTTTCTTGAAATTATTGCCTAAAAAACTTCTGAAAGCAAAAACATAACCAAATACTCTAATGCTAATGGAATGCGTTTTAAGAAAATTGATCTAATTTCACAAAAAGTACCAACTAACCCAAAAGAAAAAAAGAAACAACTCTAAGTACCAAGCAACGCCTAAACATGAAAAATGACAAATATTGAGCACAAAAGAATATAAACAAATAAATGAAAGAAGCAAACAAACTGGATACAACATTATTATTGTCCTTATCATTCTATTAGTCTATAGGAACTGTCCCCTATCTAGTTTTATTAATTGAATTTTCAATTTTCTGAAAGGAAAAATAGTCGGTCTCTCTCTTCTTTTCTAACAAATAAAAGAGCACAATATTCTAAAATTTTCTGTTTAGTTCTTACATGTGTCAAATGGAATGAGAAACAAAGGTTATGCCACGAAAGAAAGAAAGATAGTGAGCAAATCCAATGGATGCAAAAGGTCGAACGGCAGTTAATGAAACCAAGGGGTATCCTTGAAATACTCCAAAAACAGACATTTAGCAAGTAAAATCAAATGAAGAGAAAAAAAGTACCTTTTTTATTGGATTGCTAAAAAACAAGGGAAATCAGTATTGTGTTTTGATCTTCTCGGGCATTCAGGTTTGTCACCATGTAAGACTTGTTCCTGGGGCGGGGCGGGGCGGTAGGTTTGGAACGGATACGATAAACAGGATTTACAGTTATAGGCGATTTTCATGAATTAATACGAGTAGTTTGACGAGATATGAAAATAAACTTAGATAGTCCCTTAAGTACGGGTATACAACTATCTTTGTCCCTTATTTATACTACTGGATATAAAATACTCCTATCCTTTATGTTTACTGTTAAACTAAAAAAGAATGTCAAAGGAGTGAGTACCTTTTCTTGTTTGCACTAGTCGTCTCGTAGCCATGAGTAAAAGAGAAATGATAGCATGAATTAGGATCAATATGAGGGAAAGCTAACTGCTTCTTCATTGCTCAAAGGATTTTCCATTAATGTAGGTATATATCTTTCACTGATTAGGGATTTGTTTTTGGGTATAATAACAGAGACGGCCATCTCTAGGTTGAAGATGAGGAGATAACAGGTCAACAACCGTGATTTTTAACCCAACTTCACCCATTATCCGTTAGGTTTACTAACAGTGTTAAGGAATATACTAAAGCTGTCCATTTTTTACAAACATAAGGGTTGTTTTATATTTGATAATATTAGTTTCTCGGCAATACATAATCTTATAAAATAATATCGATATTATTACATGAAAGAATAAACTACAAGTTTATGTAAATAATCAATGTGGATTATCGTGTAGTGACTTCTCTGTCGAGGTCAAGATAATTTGATATCGTTTAGCCCACAACTATAAAAAATTGTCCTTTATTTATAGTTCTTGCATTAACCTGTCTAGAATTAGGTGTAGCTATATCACAAGCTGGACTTAAAATCGGAACCTTAAAGGTAAAGGTCAGGCGCTACTTCCTTGGTGAAGTATTTCATTTCACAAAATTGGAACAAATCTCTCGTGCGTAAGACATGAGAATTGGAAGGCGTATCCCTTACGTACTTTTTCTTAGCCAGTATAATTTTTAATTAGATATATGTAATTTTTATACTTATTCACTTTTATAAGGTACAAACATGAAATACAGCATATTTATCTAATATGCTAGATACATAATTTTGCTAACTCTACTTCGATTCTTGAGATGAGAAAGCAAAAATACTATTATAATTTTGATAGTTCAAAATAAACTCTATACTTTGTGTGTGATTAACATTCTTCTTTGAAATAGATAATACTTTTAAACAATTTTAATAAATTTAACATCTTGCATTGACAGTATCTATTTTTATTTTAGTTAGCATATTAAAATAATTCTAAATAGTAAAAGTGGAAGTACGTATTACTAATTATTTGACTGAGTAACTCAAGTAAGTTGTTAGAAAAAATATAAAATAAATTTACATTGAATGCAATATTAAATCTACAAGAAAAAGAATAATAATTTTCGGTGAAAGTTCATTCCAAATAAACATCAAACTTAGAAGTTCATTCCTAACAAACACCAAACTTTGCAAACATATAATTAAACTAAACTAAATAGTAACTCATTTACCAAAAAAAACTTTCCCTGTGTAGTTGTTCAGTAATTAACGAACACAATAACTATGTTTATCACAAGAAGACCTCAATATTCACAATAACTTATCAAATTTTTAATCTGTTTAAAAGTTAAATGTCATTTCATGATCTTAAAAATATTTTAAACTATGAATATACCGTAATAACTCAGTTATTCCTAATCATAATGTGTATGCAAGACACGGAATATCATGAGATCATGACCACCTATTACAAAATTTAATATGCATATTAAATTTTGTAAATCACAAATAATAATCAGTTAAACAATAAGTAGAATAAAGAAAGTATAACCCTTTTTTTGTTATTGTCATATCATTCCTATCTCTCACTACAATAGAATGAGACGTAGCAAAATCCTTGCCAAGATGTGACAATTGTGTGAGCCCGAAAAGTAATTTTACACATCTAATACAGTGTTTGCTTTCATAAATACTTGAATACATACCAAATAAAGGAAACAAACAACTATATTTATAAATCATTATGGTAAATTTAACATCTACATACTACACTTCCAACTCTATGCTGGAAAGTGAAATACATAAAATATTAGAATTAGCTTTTGGTACTCCTCGAGATATCTGCTTCACTTTTTTCTCCAAATCCCTTGGCTTTTGCTTCTGTGGAGTCTTTATGACACTTGATCATTTGTAAACATAAGAAGTTTTAATCATTTGTAAACAAAAATATTTTTCCCTAATAGAAGAAATTATATACTTTGAGTTTTGGGGAAGAGAAACCGTAAAATTGCTTATAAGTTGTAGTTGTCGATAACTTAAATAAGTTCCAAAGTTGTTGTAACCAATCCTATAAATCTATTTATAGGTGTCTTTTAGAATGAAAGGACTAACCAAAAGGTACCATTTCCTAAAAGACACCATTTCTATACGGACATAAACGATTCCCTTTTAGCTCAGTTAACCGTTTCGCCGAATTTATTTAATATTTTATTTAGTATATTAATAATAGAGAATTCTTGTTAGGATAAGTAAGGTATTTTGGTANTATGAAGGTGTTGGTTTATGTTTAGTCAACAATGGCATGTCAATTGAAAGAATTGGTGGAAAGAGTTGGTGTGGATGCTAGAGGAAGCTTCCTCCTTTGATGGCACCCATGACATCAAGAGGAGGTAGTTTGATGTCACCAATGACATCAAGAGTGTAAGCACGTGATTTTTGCCCTATGAAAGAATTACTCCCAAAAAATTCAAAAATAAAATAATTTTCCTTTGTGTGCAATTTTTGTTATTTTTGTGGTATTTTTGTATAATTATTTGTATTTTTATGAGTGCATGTTTATTTGTTTTAATTAATAAAAATATAAAATATATCACATTTTCATTTAGTATTTAATTAAGTTTGTTTTACAAAAAAAAATGAAAGTCACAAAAATAGGAATATTTTGCATTGTTAGCATTTAATGTCAAATTATGCAATTTTGTTTTAATTGGTGTTTAATTGTGTATGATAATTTTTGTTAGGAGTTTAATTAGTATTTTTGGAGTTAATTTAGTTTGTAGCTCAATTTAGAATTTTAGTTTTATCAAAAATAAAAAAATAAAAAAAAAAGGGCTACAAAACGTTAATATTTGAATTGAGTCTAATATAGCTATTTTGACTATTTTACCTTATTTCGTCGCAAAAGAAAAATTACAAAAAATATATATGTAAATTTTAGCTTATGTATTTCTCATAAACTTGAAAAAATACAAAAATAGTACCTTATTTTTTATACTTTATATAATTTCGAAAATTATAAAATATGTAGTTTTATTAATGTTTTGTAGTCATTTTAAACTTAAAAAATATAGAAATAGTACTTTATATTTTTATCGTTGTATAATTTCGAAAATTACAAAAAAAAAGAGTTATTAACGTTTTGTAGCCATTTTAATCTTGAAAAAATACAAAAAATAGTACTTTATATTTTATCTTTATATAAAAACGAAAATGACAAAAATAGTTTTATTTATGCTTTGTAGCTATTTTAATCTTGAAAAAATACTAAAAAAAAAAAGAAATAAGTTTTGTTTTAAAAGTTAGTCTTATTTTTGTAGTTATTTTTCTTGCATAGGATTAATTGAATAACATCGTGTTTTATTCTCGGGTCCGGGCAAAAGAATAATATTTGGGTTCAAACTACCCATTCTTAGGCCTAATTTTCGGACTCAGCCCATAATAATCCGAGTCCACCACACGTGGGGGACACGCGTGGGGAACACGGACGGAACACCATACACAGGGAACCCCACCGCGCATGGGGGACACATGTCTTGGACCCCTACACACATGGGGTCCATGTCCTTTGATACACGGACAAAGCATGGCATGGGGAGGGTATTTTTAAAAAGGAAAGGAGGCTGAAATTTTTTTAAAAAAAAAAAAAAAAGAGAAAGGGACAACACGTGAAAGGAATTTTTGAAAAGCTGAAAATTTGGAAAGAAAAGAGACAGAACGTAAAGGGAGGAGGGGAGTGAAAGAATTAAAAAAAAACAAAAATTTTGGGAAAGAGAGAAGATGACAGAACGGTTGAGAAAAGAAAGGGATTGAAAATTTTAAAAAAGCAAAAAAAAAATTTGGAAAAAGAAGAGGAGGGCACGTGAAAAGTAGAGAAAAAGTTTGTAAAAGCAAAAAGTTTTTAAAAGTAAAAGGGAGAGGAGAAAAATTAGAAAAAAGGGAGAGGGATACACGTCTGGTGGTCTTCTTCTTCTTCATGAAAGAAGGAACGGAAAGAAAAGGAAAAAAAACGAAGAAAAATTAAGAGAAAAAAAAGAAGAAAAAGCTATTGTTCATCTTCTTCTTCATTTTGAAGAAGAAGAAAACTGAAGAAAACCCCCACGCCATAGCCCATGGCCTCCTCCTCTTTCACGTAAAAACGACCATAACCAGCCTCCCCGTCGCGCACCACCATCCGCTGCTACTCCTCACCACCAAACCTATTGCCCCATCGACTACTGTTTCACGTCACCACCAAACCTCACTGCCCCTTCGACCAGCTTTTGCTTCATCCCCTTTTCAAACGCCCACAAACAATCCGAGTTCGACTTGGGTTCGTTCAAGTTTCAGATTTTTCTTTCAAGATTATTTAGTTCATATGATTTATTTTCTGTTATGGTTTTTGGTTTTAAGTGTNAATCTTGTCTTGTTCATTAGTTCTCCTTCTTCTTCAAGACCTTTTATTTGGTCAAGGTTTTTCTTATGTTTGTTTGAGTTATAAGCTACATTCGATTTGAACAACTTCATCGAATAGTTAGTTTATGACTGCTTTGTTTG